TGTGTTGGAAGCCAAGGGTGGCAAGACAGAGTATTAGCACCCTAATGTAGTGCGTTAGCCATGTTTTTGCATTGTGTAGCGCAGTGGGTCTATTGTACTGGCGCAAGGCCATACCACACACCTGAGCAATCTAAATATGTATTGCATTTGCTTCGCCCATATTGTATTCTGACATGCTCGTACTGTCATATCGATCCTTTATAATCAACAGAGTAACGATAGAAATGACCAGGGTCAAGGACGACCCATGAAGAGAGGGTGGGTCTATTCATGTAGCGCGTACAGTATGCAGATATTCAGGTCGGACCATCATTCCGACTCCTTATGCAAATACAGAGGGCAGCGGTCGATGTCACCGCATCAAAACCCTCCAAGCCCAACGCTACCCTGGGCTGGCAACCAAGCCGTGTACATCGGCCATCCGCTGCACGTTTTTCGACCCTGCAGCACACTCAGCAACGTAGTGCGCACAGCATAAGGCACGTCTCCAACGAAGACGTCACAGGCTCCCAAGTCTTTTCGAGCTCGTCGAGACCTCGCCATTTTACTAGAAGCATCCACTGCTTCAAATTCCGATCGAACTTGCAGTCGACCAGTGCCTCGATCTCATGACCACCATCCACGTACGTAATGTGGTCAAGCAGGTCTTGCGTGATTGTGGCGTCCTTGGCTGCGTAATGCTTCATCCGACGAGCATGATGCTGCGAGATCTTGCCATCCCGCACGTCGTCAACAACAAAACCCAATCTGAATGCATGGGTATGATCCTCTTTGGACCGAGCCACGAAATCGCCAACTTGGACCCGTGTCCCCAGGAGATTTTGCCAACCAGCACGTAATCTCCAATGTCAAAATGCATACGACGCACCACCGATTTCTTGTTCCGACGCTGCCGCTCATGCCACGTTTGTTGCGACTAGTTGTCGCCATCTGATGATGTGATTGATCGCGAGTCGCCGCGAGCTCTTTCCAAATTGTAGAACGCCACAACTTGTGCGTCCCCTCGCTCACTTCCTGCACAGTTCCATTACGCTTGAACGCATTCAAAGCGTTGCTCGAAGGTAGTTGTGTCATCGCAGTAACTGGTGCCAGCCCACCATTCCTTTCACAAGGAGTATGGTTCAGTGCATGCTGTACAAGTGGAAGCAAGTTCCTTGCATCTTCCGGCTTGAGCTGTAACTCTGTCAACATAGTCTTCATTGTCTTTCGGATGCTTCGCATCATGACTTTTACTGTTCCGTTGAACCAGGGACAGTATGCAGGTGAGAAATTGTGCGCTGCACCATACAAGCGACTGAGCTCACGAACCACTTCATTCTTGTAATGAGGTCCTTGGTCTGACATCCATTTCGGCACGATGCCGAAAGTTGCACACCACATTTGCATGCCATCGACCGTATCAAAGGCCTTGCAACCATCGTGCCACGTCAACTGACAGAATGTTGATGCATCGTCCACAATGCCGTGAACGTAGCCGCCTTCTAAGGCCATAAAATCGCAGTGAATGAGCTGGTTGGGCTCCACCGCATGCAAAGTTTTGCCGACAGGTCTCGGCACTTCTTCGCCTCCGACACTGAGACTCTGCAGACAGTTTGCTACAAACGTCTTGCAGTCTTGTTCGAGCCCACGCCACACAAAAATGTCACTTAGGGCTCTTGCTGTCGCATGGCCACCCCGATGACCCATCGTGTCCGCGTGTGAGATCACCAACAGTGAGAGCTGCAGATCTAAGGCTCCAGTCGGAATCCAGATCTTGCCGTCGACACGACCAACGTCGTCTTCAAAGACCAACTTCTCTTTCATCTTGGCCAGCTCTCGCGGCCATTCTTGTTGCACCACCTTTATGGATTCAAGCGTCGGCCACTCGAACGTATCCAGGCGATGGAAGCTTTACCAACCGCTTCACACGAGATCCGTTCTGGGCCTCGTCTTCACACCAAACAGCCGCATCAGCTGTGCTCTGCCTATTGCCCAACGTGACAACACGTCACGCCAGACATTGTCATCGCCGTTTACATGGCGAATCTCGTAGTTGTAACCGGACAACGTCATGGCCCATCTAGCCAGCTTGTCGGCCAAATATCGAGGCTGTGATCCTTGCGGTCTGTGTAGATCACGAATCCACCTGGTCGGTGGAGAAGATAATCGAGACACTTGCATGCTTGCACAATTGCGTACGCCACCTTCTCCACGGTCGACCACCGTGCACTGGCACCCTTGAAAGTTCCACTGAGAAACGCTAACGGTTGATGATCTTGTACACCCACCGGGAGATCCACTTGATCCTTGGAGACTTTTGTCAATATTTTTCCCCAATGACTCTGACTAGCATCTGTGTACAAACAGAACAGCTTCGCCGCATCCGGGTGCGCTAGCTTCACCATACTCTTGAGCGCGTCTTTGCACGCGTCAAAGGCGTGAGTATGGGCCTCACCCCATGCATACGCTACCTACTCGTAGCGCTCCAACTTCGTCGTCTTCCGAGTGTCTGCCAGTTTGCAGACGCCGTCTAACAGCTTGACCAAAGGGTCCACCAAAGCTGTAAAGTTCGGAATAGACTGCCGCATCCAATTCAACGCACAGACAAACTGTTGAAGTTGCTGCGCTGTCTTGGGCGGCTGTAGCTCAATCAACCCCGCTAAACGGAGCGGGTCATGTGAGATACCAACGGCAGAGATCCTCATGCCGCACCACACCACATTTTACGCGTAAAACTCGCACTTTAATGGGTTGAATTTGAGGCCAAACGTCTGCGCCCGCTGCAGGAGCCACTCCAAGAGGTCTGGGAGCTCAGGCTCCGCTGCTACACTACCTAACACATCACCGAGCCACGCCTCGATCCCTTTGCCATAACGATCTCCATAGATCGTCTGTGCAACCGACTGGCAGAACGCCACGGCGCCAGGCTGTCCCATCAACACACGATTGGACTCCACCATTTCGTCAAACCCCATGATTGTGTATGCCTCTCGACTGGAGGCCTCCATAGCGAGCTGCCAATAGCCCTTGAACCAATCCAGGGCAATGAAACACTTCGTCCCGGCCAAACGAGCCATCACAACTTCGAGAATGGCATAGACCAGTGCATCAGTACGGTTTGCGAATTGGGGCCGCGTGTGTCCACGGTCATACGCGTAGAGCCATCCTTTTTGGCAACAATCCGAGGCAGTAAACACCGTCGCGAGCGATTTGTGCGTCGAGCTAGACCAGCATCGACTATTGCACTAAGACGAGCACGCAGAAATTCTGTCTGCAAAGGCGAATAACGTCTTGCCTTGCAGGTTGTCGGCACTGCATCTACCTTAAACCGCACTTCCAGCGGTTCCACCGCAATTGGAGGATCCATCTTGAACTCCAAGCGGAAAACATCTTCATACCTGTCCAAAATCGTGACCAAACGTGCGCCACCCTTTCTAGACAAGCCATTGGCGATTGCCTCGACCACGTTGGCTCTCAATACGCCACTGACCGACTGCCCCATGCAGTCATCGTCATCACTGTCGGCATCCATATCACCTTCAGCATCGAGCTGAGCCTTCCTTGCCTTCAGAGCGCAACAAATGGCCGATGTATCGTTGTCTAAGACAGAGAGCTCGCTCAAATCGAAGTTTGTTGGGGTTTCCGCCGCACTGTGGAGGAGACATTCAGTCGAATACACCAAGATCTTCATCACTGGCCGTCCAATCGTGATAGACGGCGTCAAATCCGTGTGGTCCACCCACGAACTGACGGATTTAAGTGCTACAGTCGTGTGACCCACAAGCAAAGCTAACTCAGGCAACACTGCGTGCTGGAAAAGCGTCAGAGGGACGCTGCCGAAGCCTTCCATGACCTGTGGCGTGTCTAGATCCGACACCTGCCGATCCAACGACGATGTCTTAGTCAACCCATTGGCTAAACCCAGCGACACAATGGTACCAGAGTCGCAACCTGAGTCCAATAACGCGGGCACGGGCTCGTCCAAGCCCCCGTCCACCACCACGGCCCAGTAACTGCCGTCCGTCGGCGGCTTGTCCGGCCACTTCAAAGCCTTTGCCTTGGGCTTGGTAAGATCCTTCTTGCCAGCCTTCTTGACTTCCTTCACCGGGTCTGTCTTGGAGGCCGAGTCGTCCACAGCTACATCGTCTGCACGCCGAGCTTCTAAGTACCTAGCA